AATCCCACCCGTTTCGTGCTGTCCCATACCGCATCCTTGACCCTTTGCATGCCATACACCAAGGCACGCAACACAAATTCTTCACTTTCCTGCTATCAAAACACTCTCCAGGAACTTGCAATGTGTCTCTTACAATAAACATCTCGGTTACTTAGAAAACACACTGAAAAATAAATATATCTTGGGACCGCAGGGGAACGACAGGTTCCGTGAAGACCAGGTTTCAATGCTATGTAGGTGTGCACTTCCAGTCAGCATCCTTTAGAGGGGTCTAATCCTAATTAGTACAGACACAAGATGCTCCATGCTCCAAAGCTTTCTTATTTAGCAGTTAAAATAAACAAAGCAGCCAAGCTGCATCCACATACCCCAGAACAGGCAGGACCTGGGTGCCTACCCAAGTCCAGGAATGCACGTCCAAGAAAGATACCCAGATCACCAGGATTTGGTGGCTCAGACGTGGATTGCTCATTATCCTTCTCAGGTGGGTCCCTCCATCTTACCCCTTAGAATCATCCTATGGCTGTATGAATAAGCAAATATTTATTAGATGGAAAAAAAGAAGCTCTATGGCTCTGAAGCTTAAATACCTGTACCAATGTGTACAAAAATGGGATCTGTTTAAAGATCAGAGTTACTGGGATAAAGTAGACTGTTTCCTTTTATCTGATTTTAACCAGAATCTCATTTTTGATCTGAAAAGTCTTCTGAAAAAATTAACCACAAATGACATGTTTCTGCAAAGAGTTTTCATTTTGTGAGAAAATTCCCTGCTAGTTTTATGTGAGGACCACACATTTACATGGACCGAAGATGTTGATGCTGATGAATTGCTGCTTTCAGCTGTAGAATTTAATTATTCTCATTCTGTACAGCTGGTGTTATTGTGTGGTGATGTGTTTGTCTTCTGACACCTCGGGGTGGGTGGATGAAACGAATTTTCTACATTCATGGTGCCAAAGGGACAGTTTGAATAAGAAATGCTGCAATAAGACCTGCATGACTATGTCCTCTGGCATGAATGATGAATCCAGGTTCTTTAGATCTCGTTTTCTAGCACCACTTACAGACTGGAAGCATTTCTTTAAAAACGTTAGAGGAAGAGTGCACTAAAGTTAAGCCTATTTTGACAGATGAAAGAAGTGAACTAGTTTATATCGGCTGATTTCTAGCCTTTCCCTTCACTTTTACAGGCCGACAGGGTCACTAATCCTACGCACTTTCAGTTTGTCAGTCAATAATCACTTACATGGCACTATGTCTTTGGAAATGGCAGCTGAGACAAGATCTGACGTTCAGTCTTCCTTCCACGATACCTTCCTAAATACCAATCTGAGGCAGCTGAAAGGACTGAATCCTCTGCATCTGCTAATGCCACGTTCATCGAGCTTGTCATAAAGAAGGTTTGGGGGTATTTTTACAACACTGTTATGTGGGAAATGTCTCTACTTTGATGGCATAATGACATCATATGAAGCAGAACAGTCCCTGCCATTGGACATTAATGAGAGCCAACTTTTTTTTTTCGCTGTAAGGCATTTTAATTGTACCATGAGCAGAGGCCATCTGGCTTAAGAATGAATATTCAGTACCTGCAGCAGAAACAGAAATACCTTAGAGAGAAATAGTACCTTCCTGGCTTCCAGCTTGGACAGTACCCATTGCTAAAACTGGTGTACGGCACAGGTGGTCAAATTGCAGATCAATGCCCAATTAATGTCTGTTTAGGCTATTATTATCTTATTAATTTGTTATTGTTTACTGGTTTGGAAATTATCCCTTCAAAAAGAAGATCACTTTATGTTAAAAATTCCTGAGGAATAACATATTTCACCGTACTCTGCAGAGGACTATGACAGGTCATCAGCTTTTATTTACTGAGAAGTCATAGGGGTAGAAATCAATTTTTTTTTGAGGAATAAACATAATTTCTGTCTTGCATGTGAGAGGTGAAATCCCTGTTTATTAAAAATGTAGAGAAATCATTTGCAAAATGGAAGCTTAAAGATCAAGTATTGCAGCAGACAATAACTATCCTGAAAATGAATAGAGCTGAGAAGGAATGAAACCATCACTTCCAAAGGGCATGCATTCGTTTCACAATTTTTATGACTGTCAGTAGATCCTTTAGCCTGGCCTATATCATTTCGACAGGGGTGCCTCTCACTGCAGCTTGTTAGGGAAAAAAATCCCCAAACATTTGGCAGACATTTTTCTGAACTACATCTGAAAACCAGAAGACAATGTTTCACAGTTCTGAGAAACTAAAGCTGTTAATACTCTGAGTAAATTATATGTGCGTATCATGGCCTGTTTACGAGACTGTCGGTTTATTTGCTTAAGTACCTAAATATCTTGAGGCAGCTCTGAGAAGGATGTTAAGCTGACAGCCTTGTTTGCCACACAGAGCCACCTCAAATTCAAGCAGTCCAGCAAGAATTGGGGTCACGCTGCAATCCCTATGAGTTATTTGACCTGAATGAAACTGGGACCAGTACTGGCAGAAGTGCATTTAAAGGCAGTGGAGGCTCTGCCACAATATTTTGAAATTACATCAAACAACATGTTGACTCTCTCCTGGGGGAATGTGATGTGATAAATCCATGATGCATTTCCTCATCAGCGCTATATGGGCTGTGTTGGCTCTCATGAGCACCAGGTTGCAGTGGGTGAAGCAATTTTCTTCATGCATTTAGAAACCGCTTTGGAATACTTCAGGGTGATAAAAGTCAGGTGAGCCAATATGATTAGAGAGCTATCACCTCATTTTCACTGCTTTACTGCCATAATCCTAGAAGGAAGATTCATATATGTGCACTCGGGAATAAAATTCCAGGGAAGAAGAAATCTATAATACCAACTATCAGCTAATATTATCAGACAACTGAATTTTCTTGTATTTGCTTCCTTACTTTTCCAGGGGAAATTTACCCTAGTGCACGTGACCAACACAAGGCCCACTCAGGCTTGAAAGCGGGATACTACAGCACTCAGTGCAATGCCACCGAAACTGCCAGGCAGGCTTTCAACCTGAGCTTGCTGTGGAGCTAAACATCGCCTTGTGATGCAGTTCTGCTGGAGCTGAACAAGGTGTACCTACGTGATGAAGTGCTCCTGGATGTGAGAAAAGAAGGCAAAGTCAATCCTGAATATTTTATATAAAACATATCTTAAGCAGTAAGCAATAAGCAAATAGTAGAAGTCAGAAGTAACTCAGAAGTCTAAGGGAGGATGGGAAGAGTGATAGTAAGAGTTTCCCTCTCCTTTGGTTTATCGGAAAAACACATTGCATATTATGTAAAAATGTGTAAATCTCAATCTCAATAACCAAAGCACTCACTTATCCAAACCTGAAGCTACTCTGATTCAATAAGCAATTGATGCATTTCTTTTCAGGCAGCACACACATTGCACTTCCGTGCAAGTCAGTATGTCTGTCCATCACCCGTTGCAAGACAGAATCCTTATCCAAAGAATAGGAACTAATCAGGAAAAATCGGCAACATTATAATTAGAACTCTAAGTATGAAACTCCCTCTTGTGATAAATCCAGACTCATTTTTATGTGTACTCAGTGAGATCCCATTCAGTATCTAAACATGGTCAGTATAATACAAAAATGTCTCCCTAGGCACACCAATAAAACTGAATGGCACTGAGTGCTGTAAACAACAGACTCAATTCTCACCCTCAGACACAGAAATTTTGTCAGAATTTTGTGGCTTTAGAAGAAATCCTAAGCACAACCTAAACGTCTACATGAAGCTGTTATATTAGCAAGGTGAAGTAAGTCCAATGAAAAAACACCACCATCCCAGACTGATATTTAAAATGGCAATCACAAGAGGCAAAACAAGTTTAATATATACGTTCTGGCAAAGCTGCATTCTGCTTCTTTAAGATTGCATTACATATTATGAGTGTTCCTATTACAATTTTATTGCAATATTCAAGGTGTACTCAGAAGATACTATTATTTTTTTTAAATAGGGGTTTATTTGTTTGCATCTTATTTTACAGCCACCCTTCCAGCCTCCAGTTTCATTTCTGAAATTAAAGCTAGTGGTATTTCCATATCAAAGTTTAAAATTAATTTGCTTTGTGGGACATGCCCCTTGATCTAAAATACTTCATTTTAATTAGGACATTTAATTCTCTCTAATGGAATCAGGTTCCATTCACTTAATTCAAAACTACTTTCTGTCAGAGTTAAGCAGTACATTTTCTCAGCACAAGTCCTCCTAAGGCTTGTCTGCATGAGAAGATTGCACTTGTGCAGCTAAACCAATTTCAGATTGGTCTACTTACACCACCACAAAACATTACTGATGTTAACCCTAACTGGGTCTGCCCCACTTCTGGATCAGTTTTATCAAACAGCTTTAAGTTTCCTAATGAAGAGCAGGATTAGATAACAGAAAATCAGGTACCATTACAAGTATGTGTTAGGATGAAAGAGCTAAATGAAAATTGTCCCACTTTCCAGAGCACGAGTGTCTGGACCCACACAGCCTGGAATATGGCAGCCTCATCCCACCACATTTTTGTACAACTTCCTTCTCCCCTTCACCCTCTTCTCTATAACATGTTGCGTACACAAAGACCATGCCAGATCTTGTCTGCTTCTCATTAAGAGGACGTACAAGACATTTCATAGGAACACTTTGCATATTCCTGCTCTGTGTTAGGATGTGTTTCTGCCCCCACATACGCACAAAAGCACACAGATAGATCAGGGCAGAGATAATCAGTGCATGGGCACAGACAGAGTGAAAGGCATTCTTAAGCCCCCTTACCGTGAGGGCTCTCTCACTCCATTTAAAATAACAGTTTGTTCTGGGGAAGGTCTGTGTTTACCCGTTTTGTATGTCTCATCAGCACAGAGAAACGCAATAAGTACCATACATCATGGTAAACTCTGAAACACCTTCAGCTCGGTGCTGACTACAGTTCTCATAACATAGGGACACGGCAACAAAATTATTTAAAAAACTGCATACCTTGAAAAATAGCCAGGCTGTCATCCATTTGACCACTTTTACAACCCAAAAGACATGCTTGTAGAGTTCAGTATTCACTACTCCGGGGTCTACTACATTAGCAGTCACATGGCTTCCATTTGCAGTCAGAAGATGCTGTAGTCGATAGGTAAATAACACAAGGGCAAGTTTGCTTTGGGCATAGGCTCCATGGGGTGAATACGAACATCTGTATACGAGAGAGAAAGAGAGAGGGAGATGCACATAAAAATAATCAGAAGGAAAACAGAATTGCACAAACATCAAATGTACTGCATTTTGCAATATCCAGCAAACAAACAGCTGTAAACTGATTTGTCCGAAGGAACAGCTTATCACTGTCAGGCATGTTGTTTGTCAGAGTTCTGGTGATTATTCTGTCAGACACTAAGTCTGATTTATGGCAGGGGAAAAAATTAAAGCAAAATTACACAGTACCTGCCAGAATCTCTATGTCAAACTATTTTAACTAGAATTGCTGAGGTGCCAATCTCCAGGATACCTAGAGGCCCTCAAACTACTCTCCCCTTCCTCACTGCCCTCTTCCCACAAACACGTACCCTATTCCCACCCAGTAAATCTGTCCCAGATCATACAGCTCCTGATGACTATTATTTGTATTTTAGAAGGACCTACTAGTTTCTGATGAAGGCTCCTGTGCTGGGCACAGTACACATGAATAAGGCAATTGTTGCACCTGCCCCAGTGACACACCGCATTATACACAGCTAAAGAGATGGATAAAAAGATGGGACAAGGAGAGTGTCTGCAAGTGTAACCACAGTTATGCCATATACAGGCTTTAGAGCAAAGATAGCTGGCTGGGTCTGTGCCAAACTGAAGTGCAATGAAGGCACACAAATACTGGGAGTTATAGCAAAACATTACCTCTTGAGACTCTTGTGCACCTCTCTCATCTGGATGCTGAATCTGCTTTTCTCTCAAGTCAAACTTTCTAGGAACTGATGATTAGTTGGGTGTCACTTCACGCAGACAGCAGTATTTTTTTTTTTTAATAAGCAGGCTAGTTCCAGGCAAATTAGCAGGTATGTCACTTAAACTGCTCCTCCCGACTGGGGCCTGAGCATCACTTCCACAAATTCCTATGCTATGACAATTCACTCTTGTAATTACTACAGCTTCTCATCTAACCTTTTTTGTGCTTAGCAGAAGCAGAGGTAATTCCCGGCACTACAGGCAGCTCATAGGCAAAGCAGGCAGGAGCCTAAAGCAACGGGCTCCTGGGGGCAGCAGTACAGCTCCGGTCCTGATCCCCTTTGCTGCTGCTGCTGCTTCTGCCCATGCGGAGCCAGGGGTTAGGGTCCGTGGGGCAGCAGCTACTGCAGGTGGAGGGAGACAGAGGAGCACCCACATAGGAGCAGATCTTTCCCAGCTCTCTCCTTCCCCCTAGTTTTTGTCCTGCCTCTGCAACAGCTGCAATTTCAGCTCCATCCTCTACACTTTCACCCCTAGTGCAGCAAATGCCCGGGCTGGGGATGCTCCTACTCTGCTGAAAAGCCTGCTTTCGGTTTTCTGTGATTGCTACTATATGCAAGGTTTTCATTCTGAATAAACAGCAAATATGTCTCAGAGTTCTTTTTGTTATCTCATTCTCGTTGAGTACCTTATTTATAATATCCTGTACACTTCACCACAGAAAACCCTGCATGCTAGCAAACAGACTGACTCTCTGCAGACATATAAAACTACTGAAGCAATTTAACTGTTCTTGTTATTAGAATGGGCTCAGCAACTTGCAGACACAATGGTAAATTGTACAGCTCAGCTACAGGAAGTAAAAGACAATAGCATTGACTCTCCAGTGCATCCCTTTTCTTTTTTCCTGCCCTTTTTTTTTTTTTTTTTTTTTTTTTCTCCTGCTCTATTCTCTTTCAAGCAAATCACAAACAGGCTACAAAAGCATTATATAAATTGAGAGATAATAAAAAAGGACAGCTGATCATAAACAGCCCCTGTACCAACCAACGGCCTGAGCTGTAACGTGCTAGATAATGTAGCACCATTACCATAATCACCTGCACCTCAGGGTAAGATGGCCTATTTTAAGAATAAAGAACAATCACTGCATGAATATGAAAGTGACTTGGCATTACTCAGGAAATTGCAGTTACATTTTAAATTCAGTAACGTCCGTGCTCTGATCAGAGACACTCAAAATGTCACCTTATGCTTCATGCATATTTCAACCCTTTTAACTTGACGGACCAGATCCTCAGTCGCTATGAGCTTCCCTTGCGCAGCCGTGCGGGGCAGAGCTCATGCCACCCATGGGAAGAAGCGCTCATCCAAAGCCTCCTCCGGCAGCCAGCTGGCAGCCAACCCTGGCACTTCTCCATCGGTGCCACCATTCCCCCACTAGTGGAGAACGCAAGCTGGGGCACAGGACAAGCTTCCTGGAATGAATAAGAGTGATCTTGTCTGGCAAGAGGCTTGCAGGAAAGCAGAGCTGGGGACTACTCTGACTTGTTCTGCCTGGGTCTAGTCTGGCCTTCAGTAACCTTCAAATGCCAGGCAGGAGGATGGTGAATGCTCCCCATGACTTCCCATTCCCACATTCCGTGAGAGTGCTGTTTTTACTTACCTTGTGGCAATGAAGCATGAACTACAAGGGCCAGATCCTCAAAAGCCTTGTACTTTGCATAGATATCTATGTCAGAGAAACACGAGTGCTGAGAAGATATAAAAAGCTATCCAATCAGTGAGGAAGCCTTTTATATTACAGCACAGAGATGCAAATGATTTGCAAGGCAGTGGGGAATCAGACTTCAACAACATACTATAGATATGAAAGATATAAAATCGGATACCTAGAGCAGACAACTTTGGCAGAACCCCTGCAGTGATTACCCACTCTCTTCTAATTTTCTCTGTGTGTGCTTTTTGCTTTCCAGGAATCTGACATCAATGGACTACATAAAACAGAGGAATACCTGTGACACAGAACTGACAAGGATTTTCACTGAACAACTGTTTTGTTCATGAGTCCCTGTCTAATTAGGTTCATGTTGTTTAAATGACACATTAAGAAAAGAATCAACACTGGTTACTTGATTTCACTACATCCAGTTTTGACATTATGCATCAGAAAAATAGGAGTGCACAGGCTCCTGTACCTGTACTACGACTGTATCTCCCACACACATACACGTAGAATCGCAGAATCATAGAATGGTTTGGGCTGGAAGAGACCTTCAAAGATCATCAAGTTCCAACCCCCCTGCCATGGGCAGGGACACCCTCCACTAGACCAGGTTGCTCAAAGCCTCATCCAGCCTGGCCTTGAACACCTCCAGGGATGGGGCATCCACAACTGCTCTGGGCAACCTGTGCCAGTGCCTCACCACCCTCACAGTAAAAAAATTCTTTCTTATATCCAATCTAAGCCTACCCTCTTTCAGTTTAAAGCCATAAAATATATTCCTTATGTACATGGAATTACCTGGCTTTAAAGGCTATGCATCTAAATCTAACCTCCCTTGGCGCTTTGAGCTCTGTATGTACATTTTCTACTCTGAGTGAAACTATAATTGTATACTCGATAAAATAATATCAACATTATGCATTTCCACAGTGCTTTCATATTGTGAACGCTTTAAAAGCCTTCTGAAATGAAAGCATATACAAGAGGCCAACCGAAACATGGCTCAAAGCAGAACACAACTTACCAGCAAACTGTGCTGGCACACCAGTGCACGCAGGGTGCCTGTGACACTTGGACCCCTGAGGATGCAGGAAATCGATGCTTCGCAACAAAGCAGGCAGATGCTCAAGCAGAGAAAGGCTGCCTCCTAACTGGGCAGACAGCCAGGCAAAGGACTGGTAGCTCCCAGCTACCAGTGGATATACCACACACGCTGGCCAGTTGGCTAGAGAGCTAGGAGGTGTTCAGCTGCCCAGGGATCCCTCCTAATAAATACTGCTCACCAGGCTCGAGCTACGACAGACAGCATGTGCTGTGGGTATCGTAAGCCTGTGCATGGTCAGCAGCTGGGAAAAGTGGAGTAAGGGAAGGCACCAAGCACGGACTTGGTGGGAAGAAGTCCATTGGGAAGAAGCAGTGTACCTGGCATCGCCAGCTTGGACAAGTTCATGCCCACCCACTCCTTTGAGTGGGGCTCTCTGTGGACCACTCTTCCTACCATGGAAAACAGTCTCCCCTGGGGGCATTTTGTCAAGTTGGTGCAGATAAAATAGGGCAATGCACAAATCACTAAATGGAAACTACAGGAGGAGTTAAGGCAGACAGGATTTAATTAGCTGCTTTGAAATCTGGCCAAGAGAGAAGAAATATAAAAGACCTTCTTCTTCCTTTTAAAATGATGTTTTATTGATTCTATACTGATGAATAAAGGATCAGGATAAGGCATGCATTTTCTGTTCAATTAATTTTTAGCAGAATTCCTTATTTTTGGCTTAAGATTTTTTGCAACATAGACTGACAAGTTTGAATTGCCATTACAAAAATTAGGGAGAAGAGAAAGGCATTGTTTGTATTTTTGCCAAAACAAAATAAGTTAAGTTTTGAATTCTGGAGTGAGTGAGTGTCTTGTGATTTGCTGACTTTTTTTTTTCTAATAATATTTTTTTTTCTTTTCCACCAGAAACTGATTTTACCACTCATCTTCATGGTGCTGTCTCCAGCAGCAGTCTTCCTAGCATGCTGGGGCAATGTATTTGTAAAAAGTAATGAGAAGCCAAATTTCAAACAGGAGCCTGCAGTGGCTAATTAGGTGTTTAAATATGGACTCAGCTTCTATCCAAGTTTGGAAACTGGATACACATTCAGCAACTTCCTTGGCACCTGGTCTTACTCTGGTGTCTTTTCTGCCTGGCTTTAGTTGGTCTGTGTTCAGTTCAGGTCTCCCATTTACGTTCAGTGATACCATGTCTAGTGAAGAGTATTAAGTCAGCTCAGGGTACCCACTGAGTAACAGGGGAAACAAGATCGCTACTCAGCACAGACCACTTCCCCCGCACCTCCTGCGCGCAGGCTTTTGTGCTGCTGTCGGCTTTTTCTCTTTCATTAACAGTTGCTTTTGCACTATGCACACATGGGGAGGAAGCAGATACAGACCAACTGAAGGAAGGTGCAGTGGCATCACCCTTTCCCTTCCCTGCCACATCTTGCTTCAACAAAAGGCTCAGCGGACTTGTGACAGTACTGACCAA